TTTATGCATCCAGAAAAAAGTTTGCCGAGCAGAAGTTAATCAATTTTCTAGTTGGCCATAGTTTAAATATTTAAAGCTTGTCGCATAGTCGACGAATATTCTTGAGAGCCTTAAATAACTTTGTTGCCTCGAAAATGTTGTAATTAGCAATACACTACTTCATCTTCACATTCCTTTCACATGATGCGATTAAAAAAATTCTTAAACGCAAAAAATTATATCGTTTATTCGCTTAAGAAAAAAGTTTTCAAAAGACTGCAGACAAAGTTGATACTTTTGGTCCATTTAACTTAGTAAAATAAAGAAGGAAACTTATCCCTCACTTTGCGACTTGTTTAATATAATTAAATATATTTCAGTTTTTGTTAAGCGCGATCCTTCGACGCTGTAAATTGTAATTATTAACTTTCCAATAAGTGGGTCTCAATGGTGCATAACTTTTCTAAGTTGCTTTAGATAAACGAAAATTCTTCAAGATCAAGAGATTCCTTTAGTTGTCCACTTTTCTCTGCTTGGGCGTGCAGAAAAAGAGCGCAAGAAAGTCGCAAAATTGAGAAAAAAGGAAGCAATTTTTCCTATAAAGCGTGTCCTGTGGCAAATTCCTTCGAGTCCCACATACACATACACCAGAAGCCCGGGCATAATTGCAGTATTCTCTTTTCTTCAGATGCCGATTTTTTGCTCCTTTTACGCGTTCCGCTTTCAACGAATTAAATGGCATGAAATTAAAAGTTACTACGAGAAATTTTTGTGCTGCATTTGCAGGAAAACGTGAGAAATTATAAGTACAAAAGCGTGGAAATAAAAAGAAGGAAGCGCGAAAACATGCCAACCAAAAAAGGTATACTACAGTATATACAGTCCGGGAAAGAGCAAGGAAAAGAATGATAAAATATGAAAGTAAGTCTGGCCATGGAAATGGAAAATGGGAAACAGTTGAAAGACAACAGGCAAATCTACTTAAAAATCCCTGCGAATAGTAAGCCTTTCTTTGCTCTTTCATTCTTTGTGAATTATTCGTTTGCCCCTTTGCGGGGATTCCCCTTCCGCAAGGATTCCCTTTGTGGCCCGGTTAAGTCCGTTTTGCGTTTTGTTCGTTTGTCCTCCCACGAATGGAACATTATGCAAGTTATTTTCGCAACCTTGTGGAAAAATATGAAATCAGCGAAATATATTTATGACTTATTTTGTCCACAGGACAAAGGACCAGACCACGAAAAAAGCATAGAAGCCCCGAAAAGGCCAGAGCAAAAGTAAGTACATGTCGGTATTTTAGGCGAGGTATGGGTAAAAGTAAATAGTAATTGGTCTTAGCTTTAAAGTTTAATAGTTCAACTTCAATTGGCTTAGATTTCCGTATGTAAAAAGTATTTGTTTTAGGAATTATGGCTTGTTTGAACCTAAAATCTATCACATATCTATCACAAAGCAGCAAGATTATGAAGCTAGATTATTTTTAAAGCTTTACAACTTACAATACTTTCTGATATCCTTTCCTAAATGTTAGGCTATTATCTGGGTACCTATTAAAATTAATATATATAAAAATAGTTATATAATATAATTTCAGATTTTTAACTATATTTCCCGATTACATTTTACATACTTAGTTTCCAAAATGTTTCCCAATTCGATTGTTTATTCGGCCTCTTTATGTGTGGGCTGTTTGAACACAAATTTTTTTGCAATCATTTACTGATACACATTTGTTTTTGCCCTTGTTGTGGTTCGTTTTTGCTGCTTCAAAAGCTGCCATATAGTTTAAAGTGTTGTAAATATTTGCAATACAACAATGTTTGCACTTGGTTTGAAATTCACAGTCATTTTTTATAGCGCTTTACGCCATTTTTTGCGCTTCTCGTAGATCGAATGATTTAGGTATTTTTTGTAGGTCTATTTATTATTTTTATAGCTGGATTTTGACATGGATTTAGTGGGCGATGTTTTGTTTAGCCCGTTATACAAATATTTGACGAGCAGCGGGCCTGAATCGCACAAAAGTAATTGCTGCCGATAGAACAGGGAATATTTGGGCATCGAAGTGTCAAACTTAAAGTTGAAGAGCTCGCAGTTTAATTTCATTGGATCCTGCCCAGCAGATGCAGTCTCCTTGGCCCGGCCTAATTGAATTTTCACTAATCCAATAGATTAACAAGCAGCAGCAAGAGTTGCTCCGCAGTTGCTTGTAATGCAATGCAGAAACAATAACAAAATTATGCTGGCCAACAGAAGGCGCCGTTGACAAGACTAAGGACATCCTAAGAGACGCCCAGGATGACCTCAAAAGTGCAAGGCAAGTTGGGAAAAATAGCCGACTCCTGGTCCCCAAGAAGAGGCTTAGTTTTCCCTTACCATGCACTTTCTTTGTTTGTTATATTTTTCCATTACGAAAATTTAATTAGCTGCGAAAAGAGACCTGCTTCTCCGTGGTAAATGTAAATCATGCATAAATTAGGCACTTTTCCGCATTCCCGGTAACACTCTCGTTTACTTAGCGGCACTTTGGGCGCCTCAGTTAATTATATGTTGACATGACATTTATTTGACTTGCATAAATTAGTCAATTAGCTGATGAACGCTAATAAAGTTTATGGTAAACCGCTAAGAAAGGTGTGAACGGGCTTATTAGTTGCGTGCTGATGCATTGGAAAAATTCCCAGACACAATTCCCAGAGCTCAGCTTATTTAAAAGAACATTCTATCGAAATTGTTGATATAAAGGGATTTTAATTAACTTTATTTATTATGTATGTGTATGTATATGTATATCAAGTATTGAAGTTGTGTGAAACCATCTTGAAGACTAAAGAAGTGATAATATTTAACCAGCAGCTCACATTATTGCAACAGCAAGCGAACTCACCTTTTCCACTCTACTCCCAGTTCCCCACTTGACCACTTGGCAGTGACTCCTCCTTGGCCAAAAGGCTGTCAGCAGATGGAAGAGTTCTTGAAGGACGAGAAACGCGAGGAGGGGTCGTGGAAAGATCTTGATGGTTGTAGATGGTGTGCTCGCCGAACATTTTATCGCCTGCACTCAACGAAAAGGTGAATGACGATGGACGCTCCAAATTTTCGACACATTGTGGCGTTCATCTCTGTGTGAGTATGTGAGATGCACATGGCGTATACGCAATAAAAGAGCGACACTCAAACCCGTGGTTATCAGAGGAGCTTCCCCCGGCCCGCCCGCTTGTCGTCATTAGATTAGAGTACAGCAAGCCCAGCGGAAGGGAGATAGAGATGAATGAGTGACAGAGAGGGAGGGAACACTCAGAGAAATGTCGTGGGCTTAAGAAGTTCAAGGATCGCTACAATATATTACTTTTTTTGAGAGGCAAAGAAGTCTTATAGCTCCACAAGTCTACGTGCATTAAGTCTGCTATTTAAATCAGCAATATTTTCTCTTCCTACAGTCTTGTTCGCATCCTTCTTGGTAAGTGTACGAATTTCATGCACACATCGAGGAGACAAAAATTAAACTATGGGGCGTTGCCTTGCTAGGATGTGCGTTAAATTGTAAAACACGAGGGGCTGTGTGGTGCGAGTTTTTAGTGGAGAGGGGCCAGTGGAGCTGTGGGGCGATGCGGCGTAGGAAATGGGGGGCAAAAGGACTGCGCCCAGCTGGCCAGTGTTATCCTGGCTGTCATGCTGTGGCCAGTTCTCGTTTATTTTGCGTATTAGACGCTGCTATTTTGTGCTTATTGTCGCCATGCCGCTCTCTGTCTGGCAGCCATGTCCTGCCGTGTCCTGTTATTTTTCGCTTGTTTGGTTCCTTCGGTGTGCCATTGTCAGCTCATTTGTAATTTTTGGCACAACGATTTCAAATTAAGCAACCGGAAATGAGCTGACATTCTGTATGCTGTTTCCCATTTGGTCTCGTTGGGTCCGCTTCGCTTTGAAACGCTCGCATTCGATAGTGCGCAGCTAAACGGCACTTTTGCGGTTACTCGTCAGGATCGGGATCCATTGGGGCAATCATCATCGTATCCGCTTGGGCCTCGTCCTCGTCGTCGTCGTCGTCGGTATCCTCTCTGGACAACCCACTACCCGGCTTCTGCCGTTCAAGTTGTCTTGTCTATTATGACAATATTAATATTTACATTTTACAGTTATTGTCTAGCCAAAGCTTTCCCACACAGGGTATCCATCGCCATGGATATATATATATACGTATAAAATATATGTGTATGTATAGATTCATGTACTCATGTATCCTTTCTGTTTTGTTTGCTGCCAGTGCTGCTTGTCATGTTTGCTGCCTCGTATGCATTTGGTATTTTCTTGTTTATTGCTTTATGTTTCAACCGCTGCTGTTCTATTTTCCACCCGTCCTACAGTTTTCTCCATGGATGCTGCATCTTGTCAATATGGTTTCCATTTTGCATGTTGTGCATTAGTTCCGTTTGTTGTTGACCACTTTGGTCGCTGTCTCCCAAGGTTCTGGCATCAGATTCCCCTTCTCCTGGATGCCACAGTCAGTAACTTTTAATCACGATTTACTTAAATTTTGTGGAGAAAGGTCCCACTTAGAATATTATTATGGTTATTAAATGCCTAATCCTACGTGCTTAAGACCGTTTATGTGTAGTATGCATGCGCATCTTTGTAAGACCTAAGTTTAAAGATAGGGTAACAAAATACTAGTTATTATAATAATTAAAGAGGGTTTCCTGTTTACTGCGAATAGCATGCCCCATTTGCATTTCGCAGTCTGTTAAGTCATCTGTTAAAAAATCCCCATGAACCCATGTTAGGAAGCAGCCCACATTTCGAACTTGAAAGCTTTCCATCCGCGAAACACAAGCGGATTCTCTCTCTCTTAGCTAGCCGCTTTCTCCCGCGCTCTCTGAAATTTCCCTGGCTTCGACTCGTGTTTCGTCAAGTGCCGAGTGCTCTTTAGTCTGCACTCTCGCTGGCAGGACCCGAGTGGAGCCGAATTCCTTCGCTTTCAGCTTCTGCTTAACAGCATCGGCATCGGGTCCGCCAGCAGCAGCTGCTGTTGTTGGTATTCCGGCGAGGGCCGACAGCTTCCTGCCGCTGATGCTTCAGTTACGTTGATAATGTCAAATCGTTTGGTTCGCTCTGCTGTCGCCACCGCGCACGAGTACAACCACAACAACACTGCCAACGACGAGGGCCAGCGAGCCAATAAATTTTAATAAAATCCCCATCACAACAAAGAATAAACAACAGCTCGACCGGACAACACGAAAAATTCGTATAACAAAAATAGCGAAGGAATGTGCAGTTCGGTGGGACTGAGACAGGCAAATGCCGGCTAAAAAAGTGTCAGAATTCGTGAAAATTAATATTTCACCAGAGATTTGAGTGTTTCCAAAACAAACAAAATAAAAAAAAAAACAAACCCGAACACTGCAAACAGGACAAACTTTTTCGTTTCGCCAAACTTTTATTTCGTACACACTTTTTTGGTCCTACGCGATTTGCTCGCGAAAATTATGAAAAATATGTGAGAAATGTGCAAAATCCGCAAAATACTAAAGTAAGGGCAAAGAGCATAGGTCAAGCCCTATCCTCCAGTGCGGGATATATATTTTGTACGGCCCCAAAATCCCCTGACGTTGTGCTTTCAGCAAACCAACCACCCACCCACCCACCGCCCAGCTAGTGTCATGTGTATGTGCGGAAAGAAAGGCGGCCAAGTTGAGTGTGTGTGCGTCTGGGTGTGGGAAGTCGTGTAACGTGCTAAAATAAGTTAATTTATTGCCGGCACAACAACAATCACAACACACAAAGACAACAACTGCCGGCAGTCATAACATTTGTGTTGTTCACCAGTTACCCAAGGTGAGTTACTTTCAGTTGAACGTTCCGAGTGGGTGATGATGATATCTGTATCTGTGATTTTGCTCCTGCTCTTTATTGGGACTCTTAAATTATAATTTACGGTCGTGTAGGCTGTGGATTTTGCAAATCAGCAGTTTTTGCCTGCAGAAATGTTTCTGGGTAGTTCGATTACACCAAAATAAAATACTTATTAAAGATCTTTCGATGTTTGCTAATAACTAGAACTCATACAGGAATAAACCAAGAGGAGAGAAGACTCTATGGTGTTTTGCTCAGTTTACTTGAACCAAAAATATAAGAACTAATCTTATTTAATGAAATTTAACCGAATTGCTCATGCTGTAATAATCCGCATTAACCATAATTCGGTTTGCTTCGTAAGAACTAATTTTTCCTAGTAGTGGAATAGGTCACAATAACGAAGCGACTTGTGCAGTAAGTCACTTCACAATTTAGTGTTTGTAAAATTCAGGCAAAACTCTCTTAGAATTTTTGTAGTGGAAATTATAGTTCTGTGTCGCACTTCACCAACTCTGCAATCGCAATTTCCCATTGTGGAAAACAATGGGTGTGCTGGCATTAAAAATTCTGTTGACCCAGTACGTTGATATTTTCATTTGAACAATACATTTTAAAGTGAAAAAATTCTAGCCCAATTTCGAAGTTAACTTTTGGATAATAACCACGTGGTTGAAATATCAGAATACAAGACCTCTCAAATGTTTTCGGGAACATTATTCGCAGGATATGCCTCTGGCAACTCGATAAAGTGTTTTTCTGGCTACCGACAATGAAAATTATGCAGTTCATTTAACTTGCATAGGCGGAGATTCGTCTGAAGAAAGTGACGGAATGGCCAATTGTAAGTGAAAACGAAAATGTCAAATGCTCACTGACTTCTTGGTTAATTTGTGTATATATTTGGTTCTGACCTACGCCATTGACAAAAGGCCATCAGATAGAATTATAAACAAAATTTTGCTGGCACTCAAAAGTCACGGTTTTTAAATATTGCGTTTAAATATACTAGGAATAAAGTACTTACAATTTTTTAAATCGTATTTCCGTTGAATCGTGGTCTCTGGATAATGGCTGTAATACTAAGAATTGGCAATTTTAATTAGACAGTACATTTGTGTGTTTGTTTTTATGTTTCCCAACCAGAACTACTGTGTTAGTTAGCGTACCAAATGAAATTGGCATTTAATTAAAATAGAAATTTATGGTTAGATGCGCGTCAATTTGTTTTTAACTGCGGCAGTTTTTAAACGAAAATATTTTGGTGGCCCGAACCATTGTCAAAAAGTTCGTTCAATTGACCTGTCTTCGCTATTGAAGCGTGGCTAAAAAATACAACCGAATAGCTGAACAAAAACTGTCAGATCCATGACCTACATAAGTACGTCGTGTAACCAAATAGATTGCAAGGTTTTCGAACGTATATTTTGTTTTTCCCCGCATTCGCTTCATATGCAAAACCAAAACAAGCAGCTTTCAGATTTTGACCATTTTTCCATTGTTTTGCTAGCCCCTCTCGAATGGAAACTTTTGCCTAGCCATTTCAATCCTTTTTTTGCGGGCTAGCTAACAAAAGTTCGAATGTTAAATGAATTTCATGGCGCAAACTTTGGCAACCCTGAATCTGGACCCCGGTCATTTGTTAGGCTGTCAAAAAGGCAAAAAAAAAGTCTGTCTGACACGTGAATTTATTGCATTCAAAAATATGAAAAGTTCCATAGAAAGTGCAACAACAGGGTACTACAGGGTACTAGTACAGCGGGCCAAAGCAGCCCCACTCCCAGCAATTTTTGCATTTGTTCGGCACAAAATAGAAGGGCGGCGCACAGCCGCCGCTGCAACATCCGCAGTTGCAGGTGCACTTCATGCAGGGCAGCAAGGGACCCACGGGACCGCAGGTCAGGCGGTACGAGACCACGGCACAGGGCGGTGGGCCACAGGATCCGCCGCAGGATCCCCCACATGATCCACCACAGCATGCGCCGCAGGATCCGCCGCAGCACCCTCCTGAGCCGCAGCAGCCAGCCCTGCAACAGGAACCACCTCCGCAGCAGGAGCCGCAGCAGCCACCTCCGCCGCAGGGCTTACAACCAGACCCACAGGATCCAAACTGCGGTCGGCATCGCGGTGCAGCGCAACTCATTCCAGAAATCACTTAGTCCTTTGCAACCTGTTGCTATGTACTTGCCGCTAAAAAAAATGCTAAATACTCCGGGGCAGTGATGTACAGTCAGCTCAAAGCTCCAGGCGCCTATTTAGCACCTTTTTTGTCCGCCAATAGTCGCAAGTTCGCTGGCAAAATTTTATAGTTACTGTCGACGAAAAACTCTTGCAGTTTCCTCAAGTATTTCCTAAAAAAGTGACACGTAAGGCAAGGATACATGTGCTGGAAATCATTTTAAATTGGAACCATGCTTATAAACCTTTTTTGGAAAGTTTCCTTCCACATATTCCTTCTATCGGCCCATTTTATCCAGCAAACATAACAATTACAATTACATTTCAATTATACAGTCCGGTTTGCGGTACCATTTAAAACGCATACATGTCGGCTAGGAACATCCAACCAGAACCACCACGCTTCGGCGAACCCATGTCCCCTCAGTTACATTTGCACAGTTAACCATGCGTGGATTGTCTCCTAGATCCTCACATGCAGACCCGCTGGTCCGTCGGGACATATTGTAATTGATTGCCTCCGCCTGGCTGAATGGGAGGTGGATTGAAGTGTCGTGGGCTCCGGCTAAAAGTTTCATCGCAGTTCGTTATTCGGCGGATAGAAATTTGCAGGGCCAACGGAGCGCGTGTTGTAGAAATAATGGAATTATGAAGTTATTAACAGAAAGCATACTACGAAATGGTTGGATCTCAGAGAATACCAATACAAAGTAATGCAATTTAAATACTCCTATGCGGTGCCATAATATTCAGAGCCCTGCTTAAGGTTCCCGAAATTCAGTGCCATTGCTTTTCACTAGAGCATCAGTGTGCTTTCCACTCTCTGGCTCCGATTTAGCCAGCTTTTATTTAAGGCCAGATATCCACGCTGCCCCGAGGGCGGCGTCGACGAAATTGTCAATAGCTGTCAGAGCGAAAAATCGCCTTTGGTCCCTGGAAAACCCATTCCACTTCAGTTCCTTTTCCACTTCGGCACCAAACACTCGATTTTGTGTCTGCTCCAGGGCCAATAACTATTCACCCCAAACAAAAAGAGTTAAAAGGCACACGTTTCCGAAAACCTAAACCAAGTCAAGATGTGTGGTGGCTGGGCCTGTGCCTCCTACAACCTTGCCTGCTGCAATCCCCGCCTGTCGACACTGCGATTCTCCGGCCGCTGTTTCCAACCCACGGCCTGCGGTCCATGTGATGACTGCTCCATTTACGGCGGTTGCTGCGGTGGCTGCTGCGGGTGCTAGGTGAGCTCTGACCTGGAGTGGCCACAGAGCCGGGTGGAGAGTCCTGGGTTTCACTTTCTCGAAGTAGGCCTGGGAAACTGCTGACTGTCAGCCATGAAACAAACACCATTCAGTCCACGTCCAGTCATTGTCGGAACAACAACCTTACGCTTTCACCGGGGTAAGTTTCGTTTTATGTTATTATAAAATTTTATTTAAATCATACCCGTTTCCATATAGTTGCTACATCCGCTTCCTAACCATGTGCGGTGGCTGGGCTTGTGCCTCCTACGACCTGGCCTGCAATAATCCTCCCTTGTCCACAGTGCGTTTCACCGGCCGGGACTTTATACCCACGCCCTGCGGTCCTTGCGACAAGTGTTATGTTCTTGATACTAGCCGCAAGAAGAACACCAACAACTGCTATGTTCCGCACATCCTGTCCCCACTGGATGCCCAGCTTTGCACACTGGAAAGTAGTCAGCAAAAAAAGGAAGAGTAGTAAGCGCCAGGAGGACTGCGGTCTATCTACTGAAATTATATGTGTTGATCTTCTTGTACCGCCTATTCCTGTAGGAAACCAATAAAAGATCGAGGGACTTTAATTGTGCGTTTTGTCGAAATTTGCCGTCATGCAACAGGACTTGCATGATATGCCTAAAAACACTTACATTACACGGTACCCGTATGAACATCATGATCTTCTGATAGTCGGGGAACTCGACTCTAGCATTCTATCTTGTTTTCCCAATAAAAATAGAGGGACTTTAATTGTGCGTTTTGTCGAAATTTGCCGTCATGCAACAGGACTTGCGATATGCCTCAAAACACTTACATTACACGGTACCCGTTGATCGCCATGAAAAGCTGAGTCAGGCCGTCCGTGTGAACATCAAGATCTTCTGAGTAACGGGTATCTGATAGTCGGGGAACTCGACTCTAGCAATTTATTCATCTTGACAGTATTTTAGTTTCAGAAAAAGGGTAGAAATTTTCCCAAGAATTCTGTAAAGTTGGCTTAATTCTACTATAGTGTTCTATCAATATGAAATTTCCCCTACCATAGTAAATAAAACGAATTGCTCTTTGAAATACATTAATTTAGTGAAAAGCTCGAACCATTGTGTAAGAGCAAACGCGGTTCAAACCAAAAGCACAAGAAAATTGCACGTCTGTTTGCTGAGGTCCTTCCGGACCTTATGCTCAGATTCCCAGAGATTCTCAGTAAAAAGGCCCAAAGCAACCCCATTCGCCGGCGCAACAGCACCTGTTAGGAGGACATGTCCAGGGACCACAGGGAGGATTGGGTCCACAGCAGCAGTTGTTGTAGTTCATGGCTGGCAGAGCGGGTCCGACGGGGCCATAGGCCAGGGCATAGGATACCGATCCACAGGCTCCTTGGCAACACATCTTCGGGAGGTTAGCTAAAGGAGATATGCCATAGAAAATATCTCAGGGAAATAGGACAACTCACAGTTTGTATTCGGCTAGAGAAGTGGTTGAGAACAGATTTCCAAAACTGATTAAACACGAAATTTTCTTGTACTTTTGGTTTATGTACTGGTGAAAGCGTACGAGCTGTTTACAAGACAAGTGTATAGACTGGAATGTGCTGAGCTAAGAAATACGAGCACAGGCCCAGGGAAATTCTTTCCGAGGCCAGCTTGATGTGGAAAAATTTAAAAGCAGCTAGAAAGGCAGAAAGAAAATCAAAGTGGGCTAGAGAAACTGCCTTTAAAATCGATCAAAGTCAAGTTGTTGATGCTGCTCTCCTCCTGGCTGAGCTCACAAATTTCACACATCAATGATTTAACATCGAAGCGACAAATACAAAAAAATTGAATTTCTCTAACGACAAAACAGCAGCGCAACAGATTCGCCCCTCCGGCAAAAATAAGAAATCATTGAAACATGTCTACAAAAAAAGCGACGACTCTGCGCAGAATAACACCAGTATGAGATGGGTTGGAGGATGCCGAAAGGATTCTTTACAGGACTCGCTCTAAACTGGGGCAACGGCAATGTCGAGGCAGACATGAAAGTCTATTAGACTCAACGAAGCAACCTTAACGCCATTTTCCAGCTTCCTTCGGTTTTCGGGGGGTTAATGTTAGGGCATGTGTGTGCGGGACAGGATATAGGATATACAGGACCTCGTGTGCGACTGCGGGCGTTGTGATTCACAAAAGCTGACAAGCTCATCGATCCCTGAACATTAGCTAAACATAAATTACGCAGATGACTGCACAACAATTGAGGCGTTTATTATAATGTGTGTTCACACTTGAGGCTTTCAAAAGATGCAGTCACAGCACATGCATGCATATCCATATATAAGTAAGGGATGTATCAGAAGATGGAAGTGGTAACTTATTTAAAACATATTTGAATTGTTCAAATGGCAGTGAGTCTTGTTATGCCATTGTTTTAGTTAGTTGTTTTGGTTGTGATCAGCATGTACATCAATATGTCAATAGCCACGTTTAGTGACATCAATTTTTGATTTTATATTGTAAGCTAAAGTTTAAAGCCGATTAAGATGATTAAATAGGAAAATAAAACCTAATTTTGTGTTTTCAACGCTTCAACGCTGCATTTTAAAAGAACTTAATATTAACACTGACAATGAATCCTTCGCTATTTGGCATTCTATTTGTGCACATAATTTATTCATCTAACTTGTTTAAAAAGCAATTTACATCGATTTACCTCCGACAGACCGCTGTTGGGAAAAAGAAAAACCACAGACCCCCAGACAGTTAAGAACTATTGCGAAACTCATTTCTAACAAACCAAAAAAGGGAACCCAGCTTCAAGACTGCAATTGAAGGCTCTCCACATTCCTTCGAACCGAAAAACAACACCCCACTTAAGATAATCTCATTGGTAGGATGCCAAAAACTTATCCCCCCGCACACACACACAGTGTATAAAAATGTCACCACAAAAAGGGAGAAACACCAGGGAAAAAGCAAAACAGCACGGTAAACAAGTGAGGCTTCAACTAAAAAAGGTATTTCCTTTTAAATCAAATACAAAAATTTCTGCAGGGATTCCAATGCCACTGCCTCTTTGCCGCCCTGCCTTTTTCTCTTATTTTCCTCTTTTTTTTTTTGCTTTTCCAAGTGGATACGATGGGCACTTCATTTCACTCCAAAAACATATTGAGCCGGGCCACTTGAGTGTGCGCCAAGAGATAAGCGCAATTATATGGCTTCCACTCCCGGAATCCGGACATAAATGGGAGACCGCAGGGGCCACAGGACATCGGGGCATTGGACATGGGACATTGTATAACCGAGCAGCGTAAACTGTATAAATTAGGTAAAAAAGAGAACTTAACGTTACTTATGTGACACGGCCTTCATTGAGACAAATGTGCGGTCTTTAAGTGCAACGCTATTTTCACTTTTTTCTTCGAGCACTTTAAATTTATTTGCGACAAGCACACGGCTATCGGGGCACAGATACTCGGCCGGAAATAAAAAGGTATACAAAAGATGTGAAATTCCTCCGAACTCTGGCATCTCACATTTTGTCCCTTGTCAAGTGCTCGTTATGGGCAATTTCTGCTCAAACTGCTTTCTGGGTGCTTTTGTTTTACTTTCTTGTTTTTTGCTGACCGCATGCTGAGTAGGGCTCTTTTATTTTGTGTGAGCCCCCATTTGAAGTGCCTTTGTGGCCGATCTCAAAAGAGGCAACTTGTCAAGCATCGGTTTTCGGGGAAGAGCTCATAAGTGACCATTGAAAAGTTTACACTACGAAGTTGTCAATATGTAGGAAATATTCTTGAGTGCAGCTTATTACAAGTTGCCCGAAGTTGTTTCCTTTTCGGAATTCCTGCTGCTTTGTGGATAACATGGTAATATTATTAGATTTTCAAGAGCGCAGCGTTCACTTCACTTTGCTTAGAAGCGTAATTTGCTTTACAGCATTCGACTGTTATTAAAACATAAGTGTGGACAACAAAAAATGATACAGCATAAGCAAACTTTTCAATAATTTGGCTCAGTTAAAAATCATAACTTGAATATATTTGGTATTTTTATCACATAGTCAACCATATTAGTCCATTCCTATTTGACTAACCGTATGAATAGTGGCAATGCTCATTTAAGGCAGTCTATAAAAGGCTTTAATAACTTTTTAAACAGGAAATTAATCCAATTCAACTCATTGATCCTAATCCCGGTGCAGTTCAGTGTCTTAGTCGTGGTGGGTCTTTTATAGAGCACTTCGAGGCATAAGTAGTCGCCGAAACTCTGGCGTTTCCTTAGTTCTTCGCTTCCATTCGAAGTACAAAATATTTTCGCTTATTTACCCAACGCCGCCTGGTTCCCGCCTGTCGTCTCCTTGGCACCGTTGTCGTCTGCAGGATACTCCTGCCGCCACTCCTTCGAGTGGCTGCCTTTTGGTAAGTCCTGGTTGGTCTGGGCACCGAGTATTTTCCTATTTTTTTTACTATATGCTATTTCTTTTCTAAGCGCTTTTGCCATGCGGCGTCAAACGTCGGGCGCCAATCCTCGTGTGCGTGGGTGCGTATGAGTGATTCTTTTTCTTTGCGCTCCATCCCCCGGCCGTTTCATTGGGTTTTTCTTCGCTTTTCGTTTGGTAAATGCTGCGAAACATAAAACATCAAATGTAAATTGAAAGTCGTTCGTGTGTGAAACTGAATGTGTCATCAGTTGAAGCGTTTATCATTTTTTTTACTGCTTTTCGTATTCGTTTTTAGCTTCTTCGACCCCTCTGCAGCAGTGGATTGGAAGGGGGAAGAAAAGATGAGGGTTTTCCTTAAAAGTTTAGATTTTATTTGCCGGCGTGTCAAGTTGCCTTTAAACGTTTTTCTGGATAAGTTGTTTGCCTGCTGAATTGTCTGCGCACTGCCTTGTAAAATCGTTCAGTTCCTTGTCAAAACTCGGCAAATGTGGCAGCGAAGGTATCAAATTTCCCATATAAATGTGAATGTAAATTTGAAAATATGAATGGCTAGGAATTATATGAGCACTCTCAATTGAATTGTGCAAGTTGTGTAGTGAATACTGCCTTGAATGAAGCTTGTCCACAAAACTGCTTCCGTTATCTTTGCCACTGCATTCACAAGCATTTGGTATAAATCTGCTCATAAACAGTTTAAATGTTTAAAAGGTGACCCCAATTCGGCATTATACGTTTTTAATTGCTGTGCGATTCAGATTTAATCGCCTGACTTTCCCATTTATATGCATGCAGTATCAAGAGAGAAAACTAATTTGGCAAAATGCACCCTCAGAGAAAAAGCATGAAAACAATGATGGCTCTTTTATTATTGAAATTTATTGTTCTTTTTTCGGTCCCCTGCTCATTTGCAAATTATTTGGAAATTGATTGAATGCTGAGAAGCCCGGAACATATTTAATTTTCAGCTCGAACTTTGCCATACCCCCTTGTTTTTTTGTATTTACCATGCAAATGTCAAGCTCAAATAAAACAATGGATGGGTAAATGGGCAAATGCTGGTGCAACAACGACAGCTGCCAACAAGAGCTGTGGTTGCCCTTAGTCAAGTTGTCGCTTTTTTGCTCCCTTTCGTTGCTACTCTGGTTGGTGGCACTAACTTCATGTCAATCCTTTTGTGGCTTTGCCGGTCGTTTAATTTGAATTTAAAATGTTATCCCGCCAAATGCAATAGACACAGCACAGTACAGCACAGCAGCCCAATTTACCCCATCGGTCTGCCACGCCTCTGCTCGGCACTCATTTTCCACTTATTTACAATTACCACATTTTATTATATCCCCCTGCCAGCCACACAGCCCCCCAGTCCCCCAGCCAGCCATCCAGCACTTAACCATTTTATTTATACCCCTGTTTATATTTGTCACACTTTTGTCTTTTGTTCCAGCCACCCACCCACTTCCAGTTCCCCACGGACCGTTTTTAACTGCATTTTTGTGTGTCTGTCAAATCCTGCCACCATCTCCATTCCCCAAAACACAAAAGACCCCCACGCCAGACCTTGCAGATTTCGATTGTATTTTTGTTTATTTTGTTGCAATTTTAATTACTTTAATGAAAGTTTTAATTGCGAAATTGCAAAAACGCAGCGCGCGGCAGAGACAGCCAGTGCAGAGCGGCACACAAAGGGGGAGCTGAGTTGGCCAAGAAGGGGCTGTAATGAGTTTTTGCGGTCTAAGAAAGGTTGGCAGCTGCACGGCAGCGATGACGTGAGCACCGCCAGTCAGGTGAGCTTCTATGCCAGGTGTAATTTCGCGGGAAAGGGTCTCTGATGGTTGCCGAACAATGGAAGGTGTGCTCGATTGACCTATTTGGTATTCAGGAATCGCTTATAATTGGTAAGGATATTCCCTGCTCTTTTTAATACTCGCTGATATGATATCACTATTTTTTGTGGATAATTGAATTAAAATGAATATTTCAAATAATTCTTATAATGCGAGAAAAATTGGTATGACTTCAAAATTAAACGGGGAATATTTCTGATATGAAAAATCTCTGAAGCTTATTAAGCATTTAATATTATGATATCACTGCTTTTTGTAGATAATTGAATTAAAATGAATATTACAAATCATTCTTATAATGCGAGAAAAATTGGTATGACTTCAAAATAAAACGGG